GAATCAAGAGTCCTTTTTCTTGTCAATGTTTTCAAGAGTCTGGACTCTAAATCCAATGTGTGCATTCATTTGGATAGCTTAAGAAGTAACCTAATTATAAAAAAAAGTCAGGGTCGGTCAAGCTAGAGTCGCTGGATGATTTCGCGTGGAATGACCCATCAGCGAATTCAGTTTGAAAACTAGTATGAATTGTACCTTAATTGTCAACATTTCTACGTACTTTGATCAGGTGTAACCACTATACTCTTTGTATTTTTTTTACGAGGAATCTATTTTTGAAGTCAAAATGTCGATTTATCAAAGGCTCGCATGGATGTATCAAAATTTCTTGGGATATACACAAAAAAATCGATTTTTCGGACGAAGTATCGCAAGAAACGATATTTTAAATCGATATCTTAATTTTTCAACCACAAAAATCGATTCCTTGACTCAAATTATCTACGAAAACACGTATGGTACGTGTCAGTTGTGTCTTTTCTATCATCCAGAAATTATCTTAGAAAAAAAACACGGTAAAGACGAAAATTTGAGATTTTGGAAGTTCGAACCTCATGTTTTCGATGAAAATGTTGTCCTATGAAGCCAGGATTTTTTCCTCAAGTCATTTGATGCCAAAAGGCAACTCACAGACAGATTTTTAGCGAGGCTCTTTTAGGAATGAACATGGTGTTTTCATTTGAGACTCTACATTAAAACAGATAATAATCTTCGACGGTCTCAAACTTCATCTTTTCTCTCACTTTCTCATCTTCTGTCTCCTCTTTCCCTCTCTCTTTTCCCCCTTTTTTGGCTTTCGAGGGGGGGGGGGCGCTTGGGCCCCCCCCTCCACCCCCCTGGATACGTTCCTGTCAGATGCCCTTATCATTATGGCTGACCTGCAGGGGGAGCCACCGAACACTTCCAATTCGTTCCGAATGCCGATAAAGAGGTTAAGTTGGAGGAAAATTCAAAATACAACGAAGGCATTGCAATTTCAATTTTAATTCTTTTATTTTTATTTGTCTACTTATTAATTTTTTTTCTCAGTACTTGAAAAAATTCCAGACTTTTGGAGCAAATTCCCTGAGTTTTCCATGTTTTCCAGGCCATTTTTTTCCCCTGACTTTTCCAGGTTTTCCAGATCGCTGGGAACCCTGACCTTAAGAAATCCTCTCTCATTTGAGAGACAGTTAAAATTTTCAATGTTGTTCTGTACTTAAACTTCACAAATTTTCTCGATTTGGGCCTCTTGCAAACAAAAGCTAAAGCAAAAATAAGAGTCGTTTCTTTTCGAAAATGTCTCAAAATTCACGATGAGCGCATCCGCAAAGTTTGAAAGGCATTCCTAATTTTACAATCTGCGTAAGAGATTTGCGATTTTTTTAGCTTGCCTCTCCAAAAACGATACTACAGCACAGCTTAACATTTAGTGGGAGGTGTCGTCCAATCTAACTCCTGCTCAATAGGACGCTACTCAATTTAACATGACCGACACCTATCCACTAGGGCTGCGAACCCGACCGGAACTCGGAACCTGCGGAACCGGCATGTTTTGGGGAACCGGAACCAGAACCCGAGTTTCAGGAACACCGGAACCAGAGCCGGGAACCGGTTCTGAAACCGATAGGAACCTGGACAGAACCGGGTTCCGTATGGGTTCCCATTAAGTAATAATTTGCAAATTGGCAAGAGTGAAAAAGGGCCACGGAGGATTATAGCGAGGGACCTTTGCTGATATACATAGTCAAGGCTGAAGAGTAATCGGTTATAAAGAGAGAGCGACTGGTATCAGCTGATGCTGCAGTTCAATGCAAAATATAAACATATTAAGAAATTAAAATCTTTTTTATCCCGTTTCCAAGGAGTCTGTGGGGAACTTAGTGAAAACTTTTGTGGGCAGTTTTGTGAAGGAAGGTAGGTTATAATTTTGAAAGTTTAAACAAGAGCGGAAAACAGGGGATTCGGAAATTTAAATAAAATGTCATTGCATTTAATTTGTTCATTGAAATTAAAACTTTAACATGGAATCTCTTGTGAAAATCTTTTTTCAAAATAAAATGTCATTACATTTAATTTGTTCATTGAAATTAAAATTGTAACATGGAATCGTTTTTCGTTCTTGTTCTTGCAAGTTACTTCTTCAAAACTAGATTCATTTGCCTCGGAACCTACAGCTGGAACCGGCTCCGGAACTGAACCCCGAATTCCTAGACTACCGGAACCAGAATCGGAACCCGAGCTTCTGGACCAACGGAACCAGTACCGGAACCGGTTCCGAAAACCCACCGGGTTCCCAGCCCTGCTATCCGCCGAAACACGTGTGACGGGAAACAGATTCTAACCACCTGATAACAATCGGCGTGTTTATATTCACGTTTTCCTCTTGCTGAGACTGTAGAGAGATACCCGCTTTGATAGATCTTGAGCTCCTTCGACTTACGCGCTGAAAGGTCGGCGGCCATGTTGAATATTGAGTATCGTCGTATTGAGCAGGAGTTCGACGGAACGACTCCTCCAAAAAAGTGTTGACCTGTGCCATAATATAGTTTTTGAAGTGGGAAGCTCAAAACAACGATAAGGAGGGGTTGCGATTTGGGCCGAAATCGGCCCCTCCACGGAATTGAGGAAGTTTTGGATATTTGGCAGTTGACGGTGCGTATTTGACAGAAATAATCGAGTTTTGCCGATACTCACGGTTTTTGGATGCTAAACAGGGGTCTAAACATGGCTCCGGAGCCGCTGATAATAAAAATAACTGAAATTTCGCGTTAATCGTGGTTTTACCAAGTATGGTTCAAGTATGTTGCTTGTCTAGGTGTCCTTGACACCATATTTGAAGCTCATCACCCGTCGCCTTAAAGCCCAGGTCGAAATCTGAAGTAGAACCACGATAAACGCGAAATTTCAGCTATTTTCGGCTCCAGAGCCATATTGAGGCCCCTGTTTCGCATCCAAAAACCGTGAGTATCGGCAAAACTCGATTATTTCAGTCAAATATGCACAGTCAACTGCCAAACATCCAAAACTTACTCAATTCCGTAGAGGGACCGATTTCGGCCCAAATCGTAACCCCTCCTTTTTTTTGCTGATTGTGAAGTTAGGAGTGCATTCCAGACTTTGAGTCGTGTCCATCGTGATTTTTGAGACGCTTTCTACTAGAAACGCCTCTTACTTTTGCTCTAGCAAGAGTTTGAAACAGGCCCATTCAACAGAACTAAACCTTGAATTATTGACTCTGACAGATGGATGGCTGAATCAATGACAGACCAAAACTAGAAGTAGCGAGTAAAACATTTTACGGTTAAATTTATTTGTCAAAAACAATTCCAAATCATACTTAGTTACGATAGTTTTGCAGGCTATTTTCCATAAGAAGTTGAGGAGTGTGATGAAATTCTGGAGATGAAGAATAATCAGTTAATTAGCTCCTCTATAACAATATTGAAAGGGGCCAACACGGCCGACAGCGTGGCTTGATAAGAATAGATCAATTTGAGAAGTATCAAACTTTAATGCTCACAATTGAAAACCTCATTTACGTCTCACGCCAACAGACAAGAATTGAAATAATCTCAGAATCAGACTGTTTACTGAATTAAAAGACTGAGTGGATTCACAAGTTTAGATGTACATCATTTCTGCCATGTGGGACATTTTCTTCGGGATGTGCACGAAAATATCAAAATAACTTGCCAATTCGTCAATTGTTATATCATCGCATGGTGAGTGAGGAGTCATTCGAGCTTGGATGGAGCAAGAAGTACCATTGCTGCTTTGAGGTTGGCTTAAGGTCGGGGCTCCAACACTCCTAACTAATGCTAATGACGAGGAGGGCACAGTTTCGGGACGCAAGTCTCGCAAATCACTCAGGCATTCTCTATCAAACGTAAGTGAAACACGGAGATTCGGCGATACCATAAATGGCTTTAAGTCCGATTTACCACTTAATTGACCTTCCAACCTATTTTCTTGATATTTGTGGTTTAAAAGTTGGTTCAGTCTGTCCAATGGCAGTGAAAGCTCAACTTTGGACTTCTTCGAAATTTCTGGTAGACTAGTTGAAATAAACTTCAGAACTGATGGCTTCAATACACTTCTCAATTTTGAACCATTCTTATTACAAATACGAATGTTATTGTTAAACAGGATGTTCAATCGACCTTTTTTAATGATGGGATGCTTCCCAAAGTTTGGTTGTGATCGGCGGTCTAGACGCGGGATTGTGTTTTTCTTCTCTTCTTTTTTCTCCATTGCATTACAGTTACAGTTGTGTACAGAACAGACCTCTTCAAAAAGTGATAAAGTTGCGATTGAAGGCTCACTGTCGACGATTGGATCGTTTGCATTACTTGTGAAGGGATTCATTGCTTTCTGGCATTTACTCAGTTGTAGATTGCTGAAACAAATAACATATCATCATAACACGATGAAACATTTCTCAACTGTTTTTGCTGAGGCTTTACACATCAGCAATACCAACTTTATTTATCAAAATAATTTGGAAATGCACTCAGAATAAAATAATAAGTAATTGTTTGGACGTATTTTTACCAAATAAAACTGTGTATGATTTTCAAAATTTTCAAAGCAGTAAGTTTTGCAAAAACCATCATTGTCGTTTTTTCACGTATCGACTGATTTTGAATGTCTGCGACTTGCGTGAAAGTTGAGGAGGTCTTCTAACGATATAAGTTGCCAAAACTCCGAGAAAAACTTGAGAGTTAACTAAATTTTGCGAGGTAAAGGGAAAATTGCGCATGGTTTCGTTTGACTTGATACGTTAGCCGGGATACTGCACCCTGTCTAACAGAACTAAGAGCACGGTAAAATATTTTCTGCCAACATTCTCAGCTCCTGTTCAATCGATTTTGGTGATTCTAACCAACCTAACACGCTCCTGTGGACGTAAATTGAACGTTTTGGCGAGCAAGACGCGCAAGTATTTTTTAAAATTCGGAAACTTGGCCGAAAACGTTATTTAGGCCCAAATGGGATACATTTCAGCGAGCTGACTGATTTTTTAAAGATTGAAGGAATATTTCTATCGTTGTAAAAACTTAAAGTAGTTGACTTCTTATAGACTACTTTTGATACCTATTACACATCTGAGCGTGCAGGATGCGGAATTATTTTTTTAAAAATTCGGAAACTTGATCGAAAACGCTGTTTTGAAGCAAAGATACATTTTGGCAAAAATTTATTATTTTTTTAGAGAGGTTGTTCCAACCCCATTAGATTTGGCCCCCTATCAAATATGATCCATTTTCTCAGGAGTGATACAGTAGTATGCGAGACGTTCAAATATGGCGGTCATTTTGACCTAGGGCCACCCAGAGAGAGGGGCGGGGGGTCAAAGGCAAATCCTTTAACTGCCTATAACTTTTGAGCGAAAAATAGGATTGAGTTGAACCTTGTTTTTAAATGAAAGATGCAAAAAAGATCTATCTGCACATACCAGAAAAAATGAAAAAAAGTTAAAAATACCAATTATTAGCGATTTTTCAATTATTTAGGGGAAAAAATTTTGTCGTGTTGCGGCACCGCGCAATGACTACTAAAATGGAAACCAGTTTTAAGACTCTAAACTCAATTTCCTTTTAAACCCCAAAAAACCGCATCATGGGGAAACGTTTAGATCCCGAGCTATGGCTCGTCAAAGTTAGCCCCGCGCTGAGCGCGCACCCTTTGCGCTGTTCGCATATCCGCTACGCGTCCGTCACCGATCCTGTTGCCCCCTCCCCCCTCACTGAATGCAAATTAACATTCTACTACCTAGCTTTCGTATATTATATCCGTGTTAAAGGTACATGAAAGTTTTAGCAAGTTCGTGATTTCCAGAAGAATTGATGCTTTATTTCGCTCCCCCCCCCCCCCAACCCGGCCAATGTGCTCCAAATATTGCGCGAAAAAGAAATATCTAAATTTTCTTGTTACATGTTTTTGCTGATATAGCACCCTGTGTTTAGACAGGGTGATTCAGACCACCCGTCTACTATCTTTTTCTAGAAAACGGCGAAAAATTGAGCTTCGGGACGCAAACTTCCATGGGTAAATCGACCTCAAAGAATCGAATGAAAATACTTTCAGCCCCCTAAAATGACCCCTTTGGGGAATTTTTTTTGGGAGGGAGAGGGGGGAGCACCCCGTTCCTCGCGATTTTCAAATAGGAAGGGTATGTTATGACTTTGAATTCGGAATCTACAGCAAAAAATAAAAACATTTTGTTGTTTGCATTTTTTCCCTCAACCCCCATTTTTTGGAGTTAAGGGGCATTTTAGGGGCAATTTTCAATCCGATACTGTAAGTGGCCAAATTATTCAAATTTCAAAATCTAAAAATCTCCTGAGAGGAGAGGTCAATATCCTTTTTATTGATGTGCCATATGACCCCTGTTGCTCCAAAATGTTAGGGGCCACGACCCCCCAAAAATTGTGTGGCTTTGGAGGGCTGTAAGTCGAAAATTTCAAATGGCAAGGGTATGTTTTGACTTCAGATACGGATTCTACGCGAAAAGTTACGTAGAATTCATATGGCGCATGGCCTATTTGCTCCAAATGGAGATGTTGCATGTGTGAGGGATTTGCGATTTGACTGTTGATTCTTATGTTAAAGTTCGCGAGAAACACGATGGTGCCACTGGTTTTCTCTGAAATCAACTCCCAAGCGCAAAAAAAGCTCTCAAAGTGAGGCCAAAATGGAGGGGATATCCCGCTCTACCCTGAGAGTCCACCTCTACATCAAAACAAACTCTCCATGCAAAGATAGGGAGCAAATACATTGACAGGGCTGCCACTTCATTTGGGGACTCCAAAACTGAAACACGGCAGCATTCCCACTGGGGATCTTAATATTCTACGTTACTTTTCGCGTAGAATCCATAACTGAGGTCTAATCATACTTTATCATCTACTGTATCGACGAAATTCTATCCTCTCCTTGTTATTCATGTCGAATATTACTTTATAGCAGACTTTTTCCTGCATCCTTTGAAGATATCAAACAAAATATTCTAAGGATATGTAAGCGCGATAATACGCTTTTAAGTGAGCTCAGAGATTTTCCAAATTTCTGGCTTTGGGACCAAAACTACAATTGTTTGTCAAAACTATGCTGTTAAAGTCAACTACCTTCGGCCCATACGACGCCAGCAGTATTTTTTGGAAAGAGGTTGTTCCATCCCCCATTAAATTTGGCCCCCTATCAAATATGATCCATCTTTTCAGGGGTGATACAGTAGTATGCGAGACGTTCAAATATGGTTGTCATTTTGACGTAGGCCCACCCAGAGAGGGGAGCAGGGGGTCAATGGCAAAACCTCAACTGCCTATAACTTTTGAGCGAAAAATCGGATTGAGTTGAACTTCTTTTTAAATGGAAGATCTAAAAAGATCTATCTGCACATACCAGAAAAAGTGGAAAAAAGGTTAAAAATACCAATTTATAGTAATTTTTTGTTATGTTTCGGCACCGCGCAATGACTCTACTTAAACGGAAACCAGTTTTTCAGATTCTACACTCGATTACCTTATAGACCCCCAAAATCGCATCATGGAGGAACGTGTAGATCCCGAGCTTTGGCTCGTCAAAGTTAGCCCCGCGCTGTGCGCGCAACCCTTGGTCGACATGCTGTCTGGACGCGCATTCACTCGTCACCGATTATTATAAAACTAGCCGCTGTGGCTCCGCCCCCTGGACCCCCGGTCACTCGCTTCGCCAGTCACTTACGGCTAGCCGTATTCCGTGCCGTAAGTGCAAAAAGATGATGAGGTAATGTAATCCAATAAGAACTCTTTTCTGAATACACGAATACGAGAGGCTTTCCATCCTAAATTAGTTAACCTGTTTTCAGTTCCGTAATGATTTTCAATATAAATTTTCAAAAGAAAAACGAAATTACGCGAAATTGCCAGGAAGCATTATGGATAGTTTTCCTTTAAGGGATTTTTCTTCGGGGGGGGGGGGGGGTGTTTAAAAAGGCGAAATCCCTCCGGAATATGACAATGTAAGCCCGTTGGTATTATGTACAGGGTGTCCCAAAAGTCCGTACCCCCCCTCCGCCTCGTAACTTTTGAACGGTTAGAGATAGAAAAATTAAACTTTGGGAATGTTTCTATCTTAAAGGGCACCATCTTTTAGGGGGTTCAAAATTTTTGTCTCACCCTCAGGGGGGCGCGGGGGCCCCCAACTTTTTTTTTCAAATGGTAACCCCTATCTTGTGATACATCATTAGAAAGAGGAAAGGACCCCGCACACCTCTTATGGGAAGCCGCACCATGAAGAATTGCCTTCTGACTTATGTTTATCGATTCTCATCAAGATGCTGATCAAAAGTTATAATTGAGCCAACTTTATACGATGCACCGTTTTCGCAAAAAACCTATGAGAAGATTCAATTATTCGGAGACTATGAATTAAAAAGAACAAAGCATTTGAGAACAGGCCCGATGTAAATAAGGAAAAAACGTAGTGCGTGTCCGTCTTCTTATCTGTACCTGCCGACTCAGGGGCTGTCTCCCTCCCGCACTCGCCCGGTAGACGTTCGGACTTTCCTGTTCTTATGCTCCTCAAGAATCTGATTTGGATGGTGATCGAGCAAAACTGCGAGGGGAATCCGAGATAAGACTGCCGCTCGGTGCGGGAGTCCCCATGATTTCCTGGTTGACACAGAGCCGCTTGTCAATCGAGCACTGAAATGAAGAATCTTTCTGGCTTTTTTATCACCGAATAATTGAATCTTCTCATAGGTTTTTTGCGAAAACGGTGCATCGTAGAAAGTTGGCGCAATTATAAGTTTTGATCAGCATCTTGAGGAGAATCGATAAACATAAGTCAGAGGGCAATTCTTCATGGTGCAGCTTCTCATAAGAGGTGTGCGGGGTCCTTTGGCATTAAGTGTCTGAGCAAAGTAGTCCAGGCAATAGAGAATTCTAGCGGGAAAGTTCAGTCGAACTAGCAATTATGGGCGGATTTTATGTTTTTTGGGTCGCGGAATCCTAATTTCGACTTGCCTGACAGATCCGACCCACCCCTCGGCCGCCATCTTGAAAAATCGACTTTTGACGGTTTTCCCCCATTTTTCGCTCATAACTTTTTTTCGGTTCAAAATATCGAAACGATCGCGACTTTTGTCGGAAGACGATTAAATTTGCTAGAGAAAAATATATACATATGCACACTTAAAGTGAAAATCGTGGGATGGGAAGCGCGACGAAGGCAACGGGAAATATCGAAAATATCGCGGAGCCGAATCTTCGTCCTCCTCCCCCGTGTGCCGCGCTTGCTGACCGGTACCCCTCTGTGTAATATAGAGGACGAGGGGAGACAGGAGATGCCACTGGAACAACACTGGTGCAATGACTGATTAATGAAACATTGCAGTAAAACAACGAATAATGATAAGCAAGTCATAATTAAATTATTGAGAAATCGGGGACCGAACCCACATTTTGAAACCTGTAGACGCCTCTGACGTCTTAGACGACTCGGCCACCGCTCATCATGAATTGTTGGGAGCGAATCTTGTGTTGATAAGAGGAGCTGATGCGTAGGCTACTCAGCCACTGCGCATCCTCCTGCGCATAGCCGTAGCCGTCCCGGGGCATTCTGTAAATTCACTCATTTATAAAACGTGATTGTGAAAAAACCTGGTTCCAATTTCCAAAATCTGATTAGAGCGGGCTCATCTAGGGCCTATCACAAGTCGATTTACCCAAAAATCATGGAAATCGGCCCGGTAGAACACTCCGACGAACAATGACAAAAAGTATGAATTTACACTGTTTAAATGGGAGAATTCCCAACTTAACCACATAATATAAAAAAACCTGGGTCATATTATGAAAAACTGAATAGAACGGGCTAATTTAGAGACAATCGCCTGTCAATAGCCGCAAAAATCATGAAAACCCCCAGTAGAACGCTGGAACTAAGCGTTACCAGTTACGCAAAATTAGGAGGGCTCTGAGCTTATAGTACAGAACTAGGGGGTTACGCCCCCTGGCCGCTACGCGGCCCAACCTCCTGAAGGCGCTCCGCGCCATCTCCACTTTCACATTATAATTAACTTCATCTCAATCCACCGGCACGATTTTTAACCCATTGACTTAAGATTTGATTTGATTTTGACTCTGTCGGGCCAGGGATTACTATTTAACTTGGCAAAAATCAGTAACGTTGAACACTTCAAAATAATCCTAAAACCCCTTCTTTGAGGTTAAAAATCGATATAATAAGCTTTCACGAAACAAAATTTGAGAAAAATTATGAAAACCGGATGTAGAATGATTTTTTTTATTGTTATTTGTCGCTTTCAGGTTGGTCATACTACTCATTTAAACATTGAAGAGAACAATATCCACCAGAGAATCGCCAGAGCAACGCAAACAATCGACGGACAGCTCCCAGCTGTCTCTTCAGGTAAGGCCTAGCGCATCGCAGACGGCTCGGAGCTGTCAGTCTAAATCAATGGGTTAACTGACTTTTGTGGGAACCCTTCAGCTTTTATGAGGAAGCAAGTGTATCCTAGAACTGAACTTTTCAAGCCTTATAATTCACCTTATTTTAATGCGATTGAGTAAACTTTGTTAGTGGATGAATTTGCCAACTTCAAATTTATCCCCTCAATAGTCATTCTGGTGAAATAAGTTACTTACTTTGTTTAAAGCTTGCTTTTTGTCATCCCTCCAATACATTCCTTATGGGAGAGTTCCGCTGTACGTAACCGGGCTGCCTGCCCACCAGGCCTATGTATCCCCTAACTAGTCTAGATTACCCTGTCCTAACTGCATATCTAACTGTTACTTAAAATATCTTTGAAAGGTGTTAACCCAGCTAATGTATTTGTTCCCTTCCTATGCATTGTGAGTTTTACTGAATAAATAGGTGACTTGCACCATAATACAGGCAATTATTCCTTACAGCCCTTGAAAGGAAATTTCCTTGAACTTAAGAGTTTGTTTCGGAAAAGATCAGCATTGTCATCATGTTTCCTGAAAAATCCAATGCAAGAATAAGTACTTAAAACACAAATCCCTTAGACATTTAAGGACTACGATGTTGCACTGTGCCTGCCAATTCAATGAGTAAAACCTTTTTTCTCATAACTGACTCCTTTATGGTGACTGCCCTCCACGGTGATACCTTAAGTGTTGATAAATGGGAGATTCGTCAAAGGGGGAATGGCTGATGGAATATCTTCAGATGGCATACTCAAACTACATAAAGAGGAAAATTTTGCAGGAAGTGGAGCCCGAAAGACAATCCAAGACTGTAAAGATAAAGAAAGAAAATTACCTATTTGAACTCAGTGTTAGTTTTGTGAGGATATCCGGTAAACTTTGGTTAGCCATTGTTCAGGAAGAGGTTCTAGGATGCCAAGGTCACGAACTTGTTGATTTCCTTGTCATGGATAAACTCAAAGTTCGTAGATTAATAACGATCTCCCAGCGCCAGAATGTACAATTCTACTCTTGATGAAGCTTCAATACAAATGTCTAGTTTGTCCCCACCACAAGGAGAATCCTGTAGTGAAAGATCAGAGATAAGTAAATGCCGATGCGCAAGAACCTAGCCTTTTCTACACTAAATCAAATCCTGCTAGAATCTGATATGATTGAGATGATATTGGATCGCAAAGGACTTGTGAACGAAAAAGTCAATCAAACAAGATGAAGGCAATGTTACCAAAAAAAATTTTTCGTTCAGAAGAAGTTGCGAGACGGCTCTGCAACGCAGTTCCTACTCAGGAACAGGGGAAGAACACAACACAATACAGAACAACTTTAAAATGGAGTACATATGTTACCCTCCACGGGCACTAATTTGTGCAGCTAGCGTCTGCTGAAGTTAATAAAGTTAATAATAAGCAGGCTCTTGGAAAGGATGAAGTGAGCGAAAACGAGAGCGAAGAACTGAACAAATCTAGGCGGTCATGAACACCAACCACACCAACACCAACAGGGACCAGTTCTATTTCTATAGTATAGGACCCTGGACACCTGGACACCCTGGACTCCCGTAAGACAAGGCGGATAAAGAATGGTGGTCGCATTTCGATTTTGGCTGCCTTCTTGAAGCGTTGTGACGTCAGGAGGGTACGGGTTATGCCGTGCAATCCGAGGTTGAGTCAGCCCCCCCGGCCTCGGCCAGCCCATGTACCCGATGTACCCGTTGGATGTACCCGATGGACGCTATTAGTGGCGACGTCATCATAGGGATTCTCCATTATATCGAATTGGATCCAAACAATAACATTGGCATAACCTCTTTCAATGCTACCGCTTTTCTGTGACGTTGCACTAATAGCGTCTATACCGTGTGACGTCCAGAGGGTACGAAATGCGACCACCATTCTTTATCCGCCTTGCCCGTAACAAGAGGAGTGAACAGATTGACCCAGATATTCCGGACCACATTTCACCAAAAACTGCTGTTTGTCAAACCGCCGTCAACACCTACCAAGCGGCGAGTAGGCCTTCGGCCATGCTCGGCAATCTTCGTAGCCAATCAGGTTGCCGCTCGCCGCGCGTAATCTCGAAGAAGGTTCGGCTCCTACAC